AGGCATTGCCATATCCAGAGCTCACCCAGCAAAGCCCCAGGTCCCCCCATCGTCTTGGGGCCTTGGCTGCCAGCAGGCCCCTTACCTTTCTGAGCCCTGAAGTAGATGAGCAGCCCTGTCCCGAGGAAGAGCAGCCCCAGCACGAAGCCCCCGACTCCACTCAGCACCTTCCTCTGTGTGGATCCAGACAGGGCCCCTGAGAGAAGCTGGTTTCAGTGGGTTTTAGCCCAAACCAATTTCTCTAAGGGAGACCATGGGATAGAGAGCTTGGGGGAGGCGGGAAGGGAGAGCGGCAGGGAGAGGGGCTGCTTAAGAAGACGCAGAATAATAGCCATTTCCACAAAGGAGACCGAGGTCACACTGAGTAGGTACAAGGCCCAGGCACGGGCCTCAGGTCCCCTCACTCCCCACCCAAGGCCACTGCTTTGGCCTCTGAGGCTGCGGAGCCTGGGGCTGGTGACCTTCAGGACTTTGCCCGGGTGACAGAGCCGCAGACAGCAGAGCAGACGGGGCTCTCTCGCGGCAGGAAGGTCCCCACGCTGTGGAGGACGCACCTCTTCCCAGATCACAGTGGGCAGCTCAGCGCAGGCAGAAGCACCCGCCCAGCCCACAGGGGATGGTTCCCAGGGCCAAGGGACACCATGATGGGGAGAGAGTGGGGTATTCAGAGCAGGGCAGGCATGGCGGCTTCCCAGGGCTATGGGCGTCCACAGAAGCGATCACAGGGCTCCCCTGTGGCCTGTGCTGAAGGAGAGACATGAGCAAAGGAAAACCAGGTGTGGGGAGAGGGGAGGCGGGGGGGGTAAGAGGGCATCTCACTCCATTCCTCAGTGACAAGCAGGGCATCTCACTCCATTCCACGGTGACAGGGCTTGTCCTGCTGGGGTGCCTCACTTGGCAGGTGTAGACCTCCCCACTCAGGGGAACTGTCTCCAGCATCACCAGGATCTGGAAGGTCCAGTCCCCGTTTCGGATCAGGCCCGTGGACACCACTCCGGCCTCCTCTTCGTGGCCGTTGCGCAGCCAGCGGACCTCAATGTGGCCCGGATAGAAACCGTTAACGGAGCAGACCAGGAGGTTGTGGTGCTGTAGGCGCTGGGTCTTTGCCGGGTACAAGGTCAATGTGGGCTCAGCTAAGACAGAGAAGGCAGAGGGAGACGTGAGCAAGACAGGCAGGGTCCCTG